CATGGCTGCTCTCGTGGTCTGCCTGTGGCTGTGTCTCAATTCAGGGTCTGCATCCTTCGAAGGACCCAGCCCACCCCACCAACGTGGGCTGGGTCCTCCGTCGGCCGGGTAGACCGGATGTTAACGGCTGTGAATTTGGACAGGCCTAGCCTTCATGAATTCCCGCCTCTCCCTCGGCGAACGTTCTGTCGCCTAGCAACCGTGGAACCGCTGAGCAGAAGGGAGAAGGAACTTTAAACGATGGAGCTCAAAGTTTTATTTAGATCTTTAATCATTTCCTTGACTGTTGGAGAGCTAATTCGGAGAAAATACTTTCGACTAGCTGAGCCTGAGAAAAGATGTGATAATAGTTTTTAATACTTTCTAAGGGTCTTAATTTGACCAAAACCGATTTATCACCTTTTAAGACTTTAGGACCCAGCGGGATACCCTCTAGTAAACAATTCTCATTTGTAAACCAAAATAAAATTCAAGAGTTGAATGCAGAACTGATTTTATTTAGATATTTCTTTTATATGTACATGTTTAATATTTCTTAACCATTTTTTTCTAGCAAAGTAAAAAGCTGTCAAAGTTCTTCCTTCTCTCCTGGGCCCTCTGCTGCTCTGCCTCCCTCTGCAGCCTCATGTCCTCCCTGATCAGCTCCAGAAGCTGGTCATCGCTGTCACCTTCCCCTGGATGCCCATTTTCTCCAGAATAGTCTTAACAAACATGTAAGAAAAGAAACAGGAAGAGAAAAGAGGACCACGGGTTATTCCTTTCATGTTTTCGCAGAAAAAAATAAACTCAAACGAGTTTTTAAAATATGAGATGTTATTGTACCTCCATGCCACAGCCGCCGAATACTTTGCTCCGGTGATCATGTGGTCCATCTCCGCCCTAAGCTTAATTAAGTCCCTGATTTTCTCTTGTACCTAAAATACAAACTCCTATTAAAATCAGGGGGAAAACGTAGTGGGAGAAGTACGACACAGAGCGGCCGAACATACGAGCAGAGACCGCAATACAAGCACTTCTACTGTAACATTTTAAGCTAAAATAACGTTCATGTATCACATAAAGTCCTTAACCTAACAGTTTTCAAGCTTATACTGACATTTATATGCGCAATCCTCTCCGACAGCTCCCGCTTCGCTGTCCGCCATTGTTTTTAAGTTTTTCTGCCGGCCGGCCCGCAAGGCATCTTGGGAAATGCTACCTATTGAAGGATACACCCGACCCATCCTTCATTCAGGCGAAAAGAAGGCCGCATTCGTCGACCGCATTTGAAGGAGTCTTCGAATTAGAACAGGCCTAGTCGCGGCGCTGTGACGTAACCGGCCGACGTAGGATGCAGACCCTGAATTGAGACACAGCCTTAATCTGTCCTGTCTATATGTGTGTGTGTAATCTTGGTCAGGCTGTACTGTGGAGTCAAGTTCCTATGCTCTGGATCGCTGGCAATAAAATTAATTCTGATTCTGATGTGCAGCAGCAAATCAACTATCCTCATTAACAAGGTTATAAAAGCTCACAGTGTGTGTGTGTGTGTGTGTGTGGGGGGGGGGGGGTCCTTGTTCTGTGTGAAAACCATAGACTGTACATATGGTGAAAACAAAGCAGTTTAAGGGATATTGCTGCAGGATTTCATATTTTTATCCTTCTCAGCAGCAGCACTGCAGGTGCTCTCCTTGTCCACCATGTGCGTAAGCCAGGTCCTTAGTCAACTTAAAGTTGCGCACATTTTTCCGCTAAGTTTTCTTTCATTAATGAATGAATGAATGATCAATTTATTCAGTCAGTCATCTTAAGATAATGTACAATAACATGGCATACAAATAGATACAAATACCATTTCTCACTAACATATACATTCATTTGTATATGGTGTCTATTTGGTATCTCATGACTGAATAGGTTTAGGCAGAAGCAGTAGCTTATATAATTGCCTAACCTACTTACAAAACAATTTTTCAATTTCCCGCAATGAACCAACAACCCAAATAAAAGTAATACACAAATACATCCATCAACATCAAATTAATACTCTTCAAAAATATTTTTACTGATAAGTTTAAGAACTGAAAGAGAAGTTGCTAATTTTAATTCTATTTTAGCCTCATTCCAAAATTTTACTCCCATTGATACATCTCCTTTTCATGCCCTTTTTGGCTTTTTGTAGAACAAACATACCTCTTAAATCATATTTACTTTCCCTCTTTGCAAAAAACATTAGTAAATTTTTTGGCAGAGCTGTTAATTTTACTCTAAACATAAATTGCATTATTTTATAATAATATAGATCTTCTAATTTCATAATCTGTCATTTTAAAAACAATGGGTCAGTATGAACATAATAATTGCTCTTGTTTATAACTCAAATAGATTTCTTTTGTATAGTTTTTATTTCATGTATATATGTTCTAAAAGTTGAACCCCATATTTCTATACAATATGCCATGTATGGTTGTATTAGCGAACAGTATATTAGACGTAAGGCCTTATGGTTTAGTATGTCCTTCAGCTTATATAATAGACCCAAAGATTTGGCAATTTTTCCTTTTATATAATTTAAATGATGCTTCCAGGATAAGTTAGAGTCAATCACAACACCAAGAAATTTTATTTCAGACACTCTTTCAATTTCAGTATCTGAAATTGTTAATTTAAAGTCCCCATTTTTTACCTTCTTATTTCCAAAAATCATAAATTTAGTCTTTTTTATGTTCAGTGGTAGTTTATTTACATCAAACCAAGATTTGAGGATATTTAACTCTTTTTCGGCCTTCTTAAAAAGTTATTTTACATCTTTACCTGAACAAACTAAATTTGTATCATCTGCAAACATTATAAATTTGAAAAAATCTGTCACGTTACATATGTAATTTATATATAAATTAAATAATATAGGACCTATTACTGAACCTTGTGGAACTCCACAACTTATTTCTCTAAATCCAGATTTTATATCTTTAATTTTTACATACTGTTGTCTGTCTTTTAAGTAACTCTCTATCCAGGACTTCGCTATACCTCGTAGGCCATAATTTTCCATCGTTTTCAATAATCTCCTGTGGTCAATGGTGTCAAAAGTCTTCCTTAAATCAACAAATATGCTAATAGAGAGTTCTTCGCTTTCACTTGCTTGGGCTATTTCATCTACCATCTGCATTATCGCATAGGTAGTGGTTCTGTTTTTTCTAAATCCATATTGACTGTCACTTAATAATTTATTTTTAGTAACATATACGTCTAGCTGGTTCACAAATAATTTCTCGAGTTTTGAAAATTGTGGAATAATTGCTATTGATCTATAGATTTCCATAGAATGCTTATTTCCAGTTTTAAATATTGGGATCACTTTTGTTATCTTGACATCCATTTAGTGCGTAAGCAAGCTTGATAAATGAGGCCCCTGACACCCAGTTCATCTCATTGTGGACGTCAAACTAGCAACCAGGGTGATTTCAACCACTCACAAACTAAATCCCTCTTTCCTAGAGAAAACTTAATGACATACTAACCCAGGGGTCGGCAACCCGTGGCTCTTCCATCCATCTGATGCGGTTCTCTGCTTGTAAAATAATGAATGGAATTTTAAATAAAAAGTTTTATATTTTAGTGCCTTAATTTTATATGTGCATGCCAATTCTAAATGTAAAGATTGTCTGCGTAAACCTGAACAGGTCCAAGGTTGACGGGTCACGCTTGTGCGTAATCATAGGCGCTTTCTGAGCTGAAGAGGATGTGAGATTCTGGGATTCTCCTCAGACGGCTCCTGAATGCGTCGCCACATTAGAGACAGGAACAAGCGCTATTCAGCCAAAGTTTCATAATCAGGGAACATTTTCTAAGTCGACAGGTCTTTTTGAGAGACAGGGTTTGGAAAACGCTCGCTTCAGTGGGAGGAACCTTCCTGCATGCGCTCTGGTTCTGTGACGCTCTCCAAGCCTCTCTCCACATCTTCAGCTCGCTGTGCACCCTACGTACGCGCTGACAGCGAGCTGCGCTGAGCAGTGTCCAGCTCAGATGTTCAGATGGGAAACTTTTCTTGAGTGATTTAGCTACATCTGTGATGTGCGTAATGAATAAAATGTCAGTTCGTCTGCATTCTTTCTCCGTCAAAATAAACGGTCAAAAACGGGAACTATCCGGGCAACACAAGCCCTGCTTTTGTTTTCTTGTGAAAATTGTTACAAAGAGATAAAATTAAACTTGATTACCACCAGAGCCATATGTCCGTCACTGTAAATGAGGGAAAAACAAATTGATCGGATCCTTTTCTTACCTTCCCCACCTACAAAGTTTAATTACAACAATCAAACGTGACAGAGCCTGGATTTGTATTCTGAACAGTTTAAAATGTGTGACCAAAGTGGCACCTGCTCAGTAAAACCACCAACAGGGTGAAAAATATCAAAATATGGCAGGCAGAGACGGACTACAACTTCTGGATCCATTTTATACAAATCATTTTACTGATTATCTTCTGTTGAAAGATGACTTTGACGTACACGAGCGACCGGTATTGGCTGCTGTCACCTGTTGTCATTGGTTAAAGCAGCTCTCTGCTGTGGCTCCCAGTGTTTTCTTTATTGTGGGAAACAGGTAATAATGGCTCTTTGATGGGAAAAGGTTGCCGACCCCTGTACTAACCAAAGTGTTTTAAGTGTTTAGCATTTTTCATTATTTTTTATTTTATTTCGATTTCAGGTTTTTAATTCTATTTAGTTTCAACTGAGTTGTCTTTTACCATTTGTTTGATCATTTTAGTAAACAAAGATCAAATTCAATCACTGCCTCCTCGTCTTGAAGTCCTGCTGTGTTAAAATTAAAGTTAGTTCAATAGTTCAAAGCTCTGGAGCTTCTCTCCTCTGTGAAGAAAGAACCAGAGAGGTTCGGACCGAGCTGCAGCAGCAGACTAAAACACAACACGGACATTTTTAATGATAACACCTCATGGGAGAGGCACTGTAATGTCCCACCATGCAGTGATGATATATTCATTCATCCATCAGTACCTGTGTCCATGCTGTCCAGGTCCAGGTGGTGAAGAACACACGATGAATCAGTCCCAGATCCTGAAGTGGTAGCAGGTTTTCTTTAGCCGTGTTTAGCTAACAGCTGCAATAGAAACAAAGCAGGAGAGCTGATTAAGATGCTGCTTCAGAACAACGCAGGAGATTAAAGATCTTGGTTCTGATCAGCTGAGGACAGATCCAGTCTGGAAAAGAGAACCTTTGCTCACCTGAGTTCACGGAGTAGAGCTAACCGCCTCAAATATTCTCCTCACACACCAGAACAACAAGCTAGCTCCGCTAGCATTTTCCGGTTTCTGCTTCTTCTGGCGGTCGGTGACCAGCGTAAAGGTGCACTACCGCCACCTGCTGGACTCTTTGAGCTCTGATAGAAAAAAAAACGAATAATGTGGAGGATGCTGAAGTCGTGACCTAATGGAGACCGATGGTTGGCTGATGAGACTTCTGAAGTAATGCTGGCCAGAGCATCACTTAAAGCCCCTCGGAATATAAAGAAAACGAGTTGTAATTGTAGTTTTGCACCTGGCGTCTTTGTTATAGCCCATAGGTTAGGACAAGTAAATCAGGATAGCAGCTGATAGACATAATAGCTCATTGGTGTGGTTTTCCTGCAGAATGACAAATATGACGTATGTATAACTTAACCTTATTAAACAATTAACACACATCAGAATATTAACCTTCCGCCACCACATCATCAGTTAATAACCATACTAAACAGTCAGAGGTCACTAAATCATCATCATCTGCTCACATAAAGCCGCTTTATTAAGCTTTGTCAAGTTACCCGTGACATCGTCAGTCAACTTCCGGTCTGTAAACAAAAGGGTGCTTTTATTCTCCCTACTGACATGGGTACTTCCGGTGGCGGGCTAGCTTAGCTCAGATACTCTGAACCAACTTCCGTTCCCACACCGTAACGACACCGCCGTACTTCTCTACATTCCCGTATACTCATACAAAGCACATTCATGCCTCCTCGTGCGACCAAGACGCCAGCAGACCGGCCCCGATTGGTCCTGAGGTAAGGTATATCAACAGCCTTTTCACAGGGACAGGAAATGCACAATAATTAACCCGATAGCCATAATCATTCCAACATTGCACTTATTGTTCATCCATGCCAAGCCCCCACAATGCGGTTCTAAAATTGGTCTCAACCCGGAAGTACCAAAAATTGCAGTTCCACCGTCATCCACTAGGGGCTGGTGACAGAAGCGAGCAAATCCTCATTGACTCCCATGTTAAAAATACCAATTTCACAGCAGAAATAAACATGTTTACAGCCTGGTTCCAAAACATGTTTTTGGTTTAAATGATCTAGTTTACACTCATGACAACTCTGAGGGGGGTGAATTTTTTTCTCACTCTTCTGTTTAAGTGTATTAAAAGCCTAAAATTCTGTATAATTAATGAGCATCAGACCCACGTGACCGCAGAGCTAACTCCGTGAAAAGGCCTCAGTAGAGCCTCGGTCTGGCTTGGAAACTGCTCCGGGATTTTGAGTCTCTGTGTTTGTGTATTCTTTTTTGGATATTATTTGTGCAATTGTTGGACAAAATGACTTGCTGTGGCATTAATTGAACTAATAGAGCATCCAAGGAGTCTCCACTTCATTTTTTTTGGTAAGTAAAATTATATTTATGTATTTTAGGTCACTGCCGAGCTGAGCTTAGATTTTAACATGTACTGTTTAACCATGAAATTTAAATGTAATAGGGTAAAACCCAGTGAATTTAACATAATGCTGTACTTTAGAAAATGAATTGAAATAAAACATGTTGGTGGAGCTGGGTTCCGACTATCAGCTTGTGGAGGTCTCGGGAGACCGATGTTTTCCACCCGTTTCTCCCCTCCCCCGCAGCCCGGTGCATCTCTGTCTGCTGCGCGGGCTGACGGCTGGGTCTCCCCGCAGCTCGGCGCATCTCTGTCTGATCGCGGCTTCTGTGTGCTGCGCGGGCTGACGGCTTGTGGAGCTCTGGGATGGAAACCTTTCCACCCGGTTCTCCCCAGCGACAGCTCTGCGCATCTCAGCTCGCAGCGGCGCTTGTCTGCAGCGCGGGCTGCCGGCTTGTGGAGCTCTCGTAGACCTCTGTGTTCCACCCGGTTTTACCCAGCGGTCAGCCCGGCGTATTTCTGACTCAGAAGCTCTGGTGTTGTGCACAGTTAACTCCGGTTGTAGCTAGGTTGCTACCTCCGTTAGCTTAGCTCCCACCTCCGCATTAGCTTTGGGTTCGCTTCAGGTTAGCTTGTAGCTAGTTCGACCGGGTGTCGTCAGTTGATCCCAGCCTTACAGCCCCACCCTCAGCTCCTCCTCTCTTCCCTTTTATGGAATTGTCTGGGCTTGACGGAACCTGTGACACGGTCAAAATGGCGGTGGTGGCCACCTCCCATTTTAGTACAAAAACGTGTTATTGGAGTCTATGGAAAACCATTGTCAATATATGTATGTCGATGATCCACGTACACACTCGACCATGTCCCGGTGCTATCCCCCAGGCAGCAACATACCGCAGAGAGGAACCCGGGACACAACCTAGAGCTACGTAAACCTTGAGAGATATGAACCTAAAGCCAATTTATCTCTATCTCTAGCCAGACTTCCGGAGCAAACTTCCAGCCAACTACAAAAAAAAGGTAACAAAGGGAATTCGTTCCCATAACACAAGACTTTGAGGGCTTTTCTACAGTTACCCTCACACCTTTACCTGTCCTGTTTAGTCAGGTAGGATGGATCTCCTCTTATATACTCCTCCTGTTGGGTAGTTCGTGACCATGAACAGGCTACATCAGGCATTGGTACCAGAGTGGACTGGCAGAGAGACCAGAGACAAATAACAGAAACTGCACTGCCACACAAAGGGTACAACCATCACCGGTTCCCAGAGTTTGACCCTTTCGGCTGGAGTGCTGATGAGTAGCCCCCCCCCCCCCCCCCCCCCCCCCCCCGCCAAGTGCCAAGAAAAGCAATCCACCACCCCAGACCCAGCCCGATCCCCCTCCTAGCCTCTAGCCCCGGAAAGCCAAGTGACAACAGAGGTGTGCTAAGACCCCTAGTCACCCTCCGCCTTCTCCAATACTGTGTTGGTGGGTGTCGATGAGGTGTATTCCATGGCTGTGGTGACTGGACAGTGCAGGCATCGTCTGGCCGACGCCAGCTGATGCCACCACACCATCTCTCTTCCCTCTGTGTCTTAAGTGCAGCTTAAAATTGGAAGTGGGCACTGGCACACGGGATGAGGCTGAAAGATCCTGCTGCCAAATGCATTGAGTGTGCTTGGTGTCCTGCTGCCAAATGCATTGAGTGTGCTTGGTGTCGTAGATAGAAACACCTTATTAAACACATATTATGTCAAGAAATGTTTATTTAAATAAACAGACATTAAAACCAACATAATCAACAAAATACACTTACCATACATAATCAACAAAATACACTTACCATAAATCCTCTAATACAGGCCGGTATTCAATAACGGGTGTCGGAGTCAGCGGAGGTGAATAATGGCCGGGTGGAAAATGGCAACCAGCAAGTATGAGCATCTCAGCGGCAGGGTTATAGTCCACAAATCAACCAGCAGGAGGCAGTAGAGGTTCACACAGGCCTTTATTAGGTTTTTTTTTTCAACGCTACAGACACGATCCTCTATCATGCTCCTACCACACAGAGTCACGGTGTCAGTTAACCATGCTAATTCAACCCGCTCCACAGAACACACATCACCTTCCCTGTGGCTTACATAACACTCACACAACACGCAAATCAACACATAGGAACTAGCAGAACGATAGGAAACACATATAACACAATACCCAGAATGCACCTGGCTTACAACCCCAGCCAGGTCATTACACTATCAAGTTCAAAGAGAACGTGCTGATTATGCTGCAGAACACTCTGGGGAGCAGCAGTAGGGGTTTTATGAACTAGTCGACTTCACTATAGTGACTTTTTATGCCTGTCGTCGACTAGTCGCTGTCACGTGATAATGACCGGCAAGATGCAGCCCTCGGAAAAGACAGCAGCCTGCTGTCAGCAGGTGACAAGCTCCTGCGCTCGGGAGGTGGGGGGCAACGCGCTGTGCCAGACCGTAGGTACTGACACGCGATCGTTCATGTCGGTTCATTTCCTTTAATGTTTTCTGTCTTTTATTTGCGCCTGATGTGTATCGCTGCTGTGGAGCGGGGCACATCACCTTGTCCTCCGACGCACTGATCACTGATGCGGCCTCCAAGCAGCGAGCGCTCCGCTGTTTTTGCGGTCGGTAGATCTGCCTCCTGAGCACGGCCACAGTAACAATCAGGTGTCGCCACCTCAAAAACTAATTTAACACGCGATCGTTCATGTCAGTTCATTTCCTTTAATGTTTTCTGTCTTTTATTTGCGCCTGATGCGTTTCGCTGCATGCTGTGGAGCGGGACGCTGCGTGCATCACCTTGTCCTCCGACACACTGATCACTGATACGGCCGTCAAACAGCGAGCGCTCCGCTGTTTTTGCGGTCGGTAGATCTTTTAGAACTGCAGTTCAAAGGTAACTCATGAGGTGAATATATATGAACCCAGGTAGCAGTTTTTCTTTAGGATTGAGAGGAGATGCAGGAAGATAATAAACAGACAGGACAGAAAAATAGTCAAATAAAAACAAGTTAGTTTTGTACCTGGTGGTTGCAACAAACAGACACCATTGAAGGTAATCAGAAGTGAGGAACAGAAAATTAAATAATTATTTTAATGTTTAGAGCAGCAGGAACTCCGAGAGGCTGCAGGCGCATCAGTGAGTTTGTGGCCGCTGCGCAGGGGGAGGGGGGAGAGGGCTGAAGCAGAAACTACCGTTGTTAAAAGAAATGTGTTTAACTTTGAAAATGTGGGCGCAATTTTAATTGTCAAAAACTCAGCGAACCATTAGTTCATTTTGCTCAAATAGAAATAGAGGCCTGCCTCTAATACTGGCCCTCCTTCCAATAAAGGCCTGGAGCTTGATGAGCGTGAGTCAAATACAGGCCCGGGCCTGTATTAGAGGATTTACGGTACATTAGTTTTTAAGGTTTAATTTAGTCAACATGTTAGAATATTTTTTCTTTTACGATTTAAAAATCCTAAATATCTTCATGAGGATGAAAACCAACTCCTGTTTATTTTTTACTTTTCTCATTAGATGTGAAGTTTTCTGAACTCCCAACTGTCTCCGAATGTGTCAGTTCCTCTCATAGGACAGGTGAGACACCAGTCCAGTTTGCTGTTGGACTGGTTCAGGGGCAGATCTACAGGGGGGAAAGTCTAGAGGCTTTAGCCCCCAGCTGCCCCCCACATCCGTTTGTCTTCTGTATTTGTGCTTTA